ACTTTTCTGGTCTGATTCACATCAAATTCAAGTGATTCCAAACTTTTCAGGTCTGATTCACATCAAATTCAAGTGATTCAAAACTTTTCAGGTTTGATTGACATCAAATTCAAGTGATTGAAAACTTTTCTGGTCTGATTCACATCAAATTCAAGTGATTCAAAACTTTTCAGGTTTGATTGACATCAAATTCAAGTGATTGAAAACTTTTCTTGTCTGATTCACATCAAATTCAAGTGATTCCAAACTTTTCAGGTCTGATTCACATCAAATTCAAGTGATTCAAAACTTTTCAGGTTTGATTGACATCAAATTCAAGTGATTGAAAACTTTTCTGGTCTGATTCACATCAAATTCAAGTGATTCAAAACTTTTCAGGTTTGATTGACATCAAATTCAAGTGATTGAAAATTTTTCAGATCTGATTCATGTCAAATTCAAGTGATTCCAAAAATGTATTGAATCGCATTGATAACAAGTGATTCCAAACTTTTCTGGTCTGATTCACATTAAATTCAAGTGATTCCAATCTTTTCTGGTCTGATTCACATCAAATTCAAGTTATTCAAACTTTTCTGTATTGAATCGCACCGATTTCAAGTGTTTTTTAACTTTTCAGCGCTGATTCAAATCAAATTCAATTGATTCCAAACTTTTCTGCATTGAATTGCGTCGATTTCAAGTAATTAAAAACTTTTCAGCCCTGTTACACATTACATTTAAGTGATTCCAAACTTTTCTGTATTGAATCGCATCGATTTCAAGTGATTCCAAACTTTTCTGGTCTAATTCACATCAAATTCTAGTGATTCCAAACTTTTCAGGTCTGACTCGTATCAAATTCAAGTGATTCCAAACTTTTGTGTATTGAATCGCATCGATTTTAAGTGATTACAAACTTTTCAGGTCTAATTCACATCAAATTCAAGTAATTCCAAACTTTTCAGGTCTGACTCGTATCAAATTCAAGTGATTCCAAACTTTTGTGTATTGAATCGCATCGATTTTAAGTGATTACAAACTTTTCAGGTCTAATTCACATCAAATTCAAGTAATTCCAAAATTTTCTGGACTGATTCACATCAAATTCAAGTAATTCCAAACTTTTCTGTATTGAATCACATCGATTTAAAGTGATTCCAAACTTTTCAGGTCTGATTCACATCAAATTCAAGTGATTCCAAACTTTTCTGGACTGATTCACATCAAATGCAAGTGATTCCAAACTTTTCTGTATTGAATCGTATCGCTTTCAAGTGATTCCGAACTTTTATGGTCTAATTCAAATCAAATTCAAGTGATTTCAAACTTTTCTGGTCTGACTCGTATCAAATTCAAGTGATTCCGAACTTTTCTGTATTGAATCGCATCGATTTCAAGTGATTCCAAACTTTTCAGGTCTAATTCACATCAAATTCAAGTGATTTCAAAATTTTCTGGACTGATTCACATCAAATTCAAGTGATTCCAAACTTTTCTGTATTAAATCGCATCGATTTCTAGTGATTTCAATGTTTTCTGGTCTAATTCACATCAAATTCTAGTGATTCCAAACTTTTCTGTTTTGAATCGCATCGATTTCAAGTGATTCTCAACTTTTCAGGTCTGATTTACATCAAATTCAAGTGATTCCAAACATTTCTTTATTGAATTGCGTCGATTTAAAGTGATTCCAAACTTTTCAGGTCTGATTTACATCAAATTCAAGTGATTCCAAACTTTTCTGGACTGATTCACATCAAATTCAAGTGATTCCAAACTGTTCAGGTCTAATTTACATCAAATTCAAGTTATTCCAAACTTTTCTGTATTGAATCGCATCGATTTCTAGTGATTTGAAAGTTTTCTGGTCTAATTCACATCAAATTCAAGTGATTCCAAACTTTTCTTTATTGAATTGCGTCACTTTAAAGTGATTCCAAACTTTTCAGGTCTGATTTACATCAAATTCAAGTGATTCCAAACTTTTCTGTTTTGAATCGTATCACTTTCAAGTAATTCCGAACTTTTCTGGTCTTATTCATATCAAATTCAAGTGATTCCAAACTTTTATGGACTGATTCACATTAAATTCGATTGACTCCGAACTTTTCTGTATTGAATCGCATCGATTTTAAATGATTCCAAACTTTTCAGGTCTAAATCACATCAAATTCAAGTGATTCCAAACTTTTCAGGTGTGATTCACATCCAATTCAAGTTATTCCAAACTTTTCTGGACTGATTCACATCAAATTCAAGTGATTGCAAACTTTTCTGTATTGAATCGCTTCGATTTCAAGTGATTCCAAAGTTTTCTTGTCTAATTCACATCAAATTCAAGTAATTCCAAATTGTTAAGGTCTGATTTACATAAATTTCAAGAGATTTCAAAATTTTCTGTATTGAATCGCATCGATTTCAAGTGATTCCAAACATTTCTGGTCTGATTCAGATAAAATTCAAGTGATTGAAAACTTTTCTGGTCTGATTCACATCAAATTCAAGTGATTCCAAACTTTTCAGGTCTGATTCACATCAAATTCAGGTGATTCAAAACTTTTCAGGTTTGATTGACATCAAATTCAAGTGATTGAAAACTTTTCTGGTCTGATTCACATCAAATTCAAGTGATTGAAAACTTTTCTGGTCTGATTCACATCAAATTCAAGTGATTCCAAACTTTTCAGGTCTGATTCACATCAAATTCAAGTGATTCAAAACTTTTCAGGTTTGATTGACATCAAATTCAAGTGATTGAAAACTTTTCTGGTCTGATTCACATCAAATTCAAGTGATTCAAAACTTTTCAGGTTTGATTGACATCAAATTCAAGTGATTGAAAACTTTTCTGGTCTGATTCACATCAAATTCAAGTGATTCAAAACTTTTCAGGTTTGATTGACATCAAATTCAAGTGATTGAAAACTTTTCTGGTCTGATTCACATCAAATTCAAGTGATTCCAAACTTTTCAGGTCTGATTCACATCAAATTCAAGTGATTCAAAACTTTTCAGGTTTGATTGACATCAAATTCAAGTGATTGAAAACTTTTCTGGTCTGATTCACATCAAATTCAAGTGATTCCAAACTTTTCAGGTCTGATTCACATCAAATTCAAGTGATTCAAAACTTTTCAGGTTTGATTGACATCAAATTCAAGTGATTGAAAACTTTTCTGGTCTGATTCACATCAAATTCAAGTGATTCCAAACTTTTCAGGTCTGATTCACATCAAATTCAAGTGATTCAAAACTTTTCAGGTTTGATTGACATCAAATTCAAGTGATTGAAAACTTTTCTGGTCTGATTCACATCAAATTCAAGTGATTCAAAACTTTTCAGGTTTGATTGACATCAAATTCAAGTGATTGAAAACTTTTCTGGTCTGATTCACATCAAATTCAAGTGATTCAAAACTTTTCAGGTTTGATTGACATCAAATTCAAGTGATTGAAAACTTTTCTGGTCTGATTCACATCAAATTCAAGTGATTCCAAACTTTTCAGGTCTGATTCACATCAAATTCAAGTGATTCAAAACTTTTCAGGTTTGATTGACATCAAATTCAAGTGATTGAAAACTTTTCTGGTCTGATTCACATCAAATTCAAGTGATTCAAAACTTTTCAGGTTTGATTGACATCAAATTCAAGTGATTGAAAATTTTTCAGATCTGATTCATGTCAAATTCAAGTGATTCCAAAAATGTATTGAATCGCATTGATAACAAGTGATTCCAAACTTTTCTGGTCTGATTCACATTAAATTCAAGTGATTCCAATCTTTTTTGGTCTGATTCACATCAAATTCAAGTTATTCAAACTTTTCTGTATTGAATCGCACCGATTTCAAGTGTTTTTTAACTTTTCAGCGCTGATTCAAATCAAATTCAATTGATTCCAAACTTTTCTGCATTGAATTGCGTCGATTTCAAGTAATTAAAAACTTTTCAGCCCTGTTACACATTACATTTAAGTGATTCCAAACTTTTCTGTATTGAATCGCATCGATTTCAAGTGATTCCAAACTTTTCTGGTCTGATACACATCAAATGCAAGTGATTCCAAGGTGCTGCAATATTCAAGTGAGTGTTGCAACACTTTTTCACGCAAGTCGTCACTTATGACGGGTAGTGTAATAGCAGAGCATGCCAATTTTCATACCGAATTGACACCTTCGACATGTTTGTAACTTTGTTCTCTTAAGATCAATTGAGCTGAAACCAAATATTATAAATTATTATATAATATTTGCTGAAACGTTCGGCACAGAACTATAAATAAGTTCTTTTTAACGAATACTAAATACAAATATTTGGAAAATTGATCGAAATAATAACAGTTTTTGATTTGAAAAATCTATGTACTGCAAATATTTCAAACATTGTTTGAATTTTGAGAAACGTAAAATTTAAAACCTCAAAATAATAAAACTGCTACTATTTCGATCAATTTTACCTAATATCTCACTTTCCGGGAGGTACTTCCAAAAATCTGATATTTTATATTGGTAAAATTGAACAAATTTGAAGCTCTGTGACTATGGTATCAATGGCTAATGGCTCAATTGATCATAATACAACACGGAAAGTACTATAATTCGTACCTGGTGGCCTTATAACTGGATCTCAAATGCTGAGCCCCATCATCTATGTCATCAGATAACGATACAATAAAAAAATTGACAACGTAAGTGGAGGTGGGTCAGTCACACACTGCGAAGGGACGGATACGAAACCTGCATGAAGCGGATTGGAACCCGGCAGGACATTGCAGCAGAGGCAAACCTCAACAAGGAAATATAGGAAGTCGACAGGAATCCAACCTGGGCCCAGGTAAAGGCAAAAGCGAGCAGCCTCCCACGATGGAAATCTTTCACGTTGACCCTATGCACCACTAGGGGTGTCCAGGATACATAAGTAAGTTACTCTATCAATAAAATTCAATAAATCCTTTATTTAAAAAAAAAAAAACTATACCCTAACCATAAAATGCGAGCAAATCGCATCATCATGGCAATCACACCGTCACACTCGAGACGCAAACTGATATCGTTGAGTTGAAAATTTTACCATCGGTACAAAGGTTAGTGTAGGCTACCAGTTCACTGCCCGAATCTATGCACTCGTAGTAAACCCTCAGGTTGGCGCTGTCCCCAAATCTTCCCTCCTTGGTGCATTTGTAAACGCATGTCTTTCCATCAAACTCGGTTCCTTCCGAGCATCGATATATACGAGTGTCATACAACGTCATCCCTCCACTGTACATACAGCAAGCGTAATACTTCTTGCTGGAACCGTACCTGGTGAAAATCGTGTTTAAATTACACTTTACATTCGGACAATCATCGGCCGTCAGTTTTGACTTGCACAGGGTGGACTCAGGATTGAATGCGTAGCCCGATGGGCACTGGTACGTCTGCGGCATACTGCTCTGTCCATCGCAGTAGTGATAGAATTGACAAAATCTGGGATCTGCAAAATTGGAATCGAGTCAATCATGGAAACATCAAGAATCATCCGAAAAGTTTCGTACCTGGATAGAACCCAACTCCCGTGCACGTAAAATGCGGTGGAGGACAATTAGAACTAACACTTCCTTCGGCCGTGCATTCACCGTTGTTGCAGAATGGCGTATCCGGTGTCTGATACTGGCACGCACGGTATTCTGTGGTGTTTCCCAAACAGATCGTAACGTCGTAACATCCGGAGCAGGAAGAGAACACTCGACTGCCGTCACAGGATTCTATCGATAGGGATGATGGCTGCGCTGCCTGAGACGCTATCAGTGTTCCGGGAACTTCGGCCTGTTCCGCTGAATGCAGCTGAAACAGCACTATCACTAGCAGCAGCCCGAGGTTGGTCACTTTGGGTGTCATCTCGTTGGTCTTCTTCGGATGATAGTGACTGGTGGGTAAGGTTCTAGATTTTATAGCAACAGATTTGGGGTGTAGTTTGTATAATATTGGCTAAAGATATGCGTGAGATATGAAATTATTACGATATGCAGTAAAACATTATTACATTGAAGCTTTCGATAAGATAAAACATTTCGTACAAACGTTCAGATTAATCTGGGCTTTTTGTATCGGTTGAATGACATCAGCTGAGTTGTAATCATGTATTCCAAAATAATCAACACCATAAGGATTAGCGTAAAAGCCTAATAAGAAGAAGAATTGCGGTTAATTTGCGTGACGAAGTTTTACCATTGCAAGTTTATTTAATATCAAACTCTGAAGACGGACTTCACAGCTCAGTCAACGCATCGTAAATTATTTATGATGTTCCCAATTACGACCAGTTCCTTTTTTTTCGCAAGTCGGATGCCCTTCTGCAGAAAATAAACAGTTATGCCCCCAACCAACGGTCTTATCTTTTGTAAATACGATGAAAAAAAAAACTTAACGTCAACTCTTCTAGTTATAAAAGGCAGCATTTCGTGAACAATTCATTCAGAAAGATACCAACGAGATGTCGCCGAAAGTAACAACCTTTTCGTTGCTGGTAGTCGCTGTGCTGTTCCAGCTGCCCTCAGCGGAACAGACCGAGGTTCCCGGCAGTCTGATAAACCGGACAGCCCTGGCAGAGCAGCCACAATCCTTTTCGATAGAATCCTGCCTTGGCAATCGAGTGTTTTCAACCTGCTCCGGTTGTTACGATGTCACGGTCTGTTTGGGAGACTACACGGACTATCGCATGTGCCAATACCAGACACCGGAAACACCATTCTGCAACAACGGTGAATGTTCGGATGAAATGAACCTTAGTCTGGATTGTTTACCACCAATGATCACCTGTACCGGAATTGGTTTCTATCCAGGTGAGGAGTCTTAGATGATGAACGGTTGGTTGGTTATCAATTCAAAACCTTTTTTTCTAGATCCAAGAACCTGTCAACTCTACCACTACTGTGAGGAAAAGAACAGCATGCCCGATACGTACCAGTGCCCAGCTGGCTATGCATTCAACCCTGAGACGAACCTGTGCAAGCCTAGGCTGAAGGCCGATGATTGCCCGAAGGTGAAATGCAATTTGAACACGATTTTCACCAGGTACGGTTCCAGTACGAAGTACTTCGCATTCTGCGTGTACGGAGGAGGACAAATGCCATACGACATTCGTATTTTTCGATGCCCGGAAGGAACCGACTTTGATGGAAAGACTTGCGTTTACAAGTGCACCAAGGAGGGAAGGTTTGGAGACAGTTCTGACCCGAGGACTTACTACGAGTGTTTGGATTCGGGCAGCGAGCTGGTAGCTGACACGCATCTTTGCCCGATTGGTACCATTTTTAACTCAACGATATCGGTTTGCGTCACGGGGCTGAAGGTGTAACTGTTTCTGAAATAGGTTAAATTTTATCCATTACGAAGATCGAAATACTATAATGTGGAAAATTTGAAAATGTAAATTTTTTTTTTCTTAAATTTGTGTTACTTACTTACTTAAGGGTCCTGTGCACCACCAGCGGTGCAAAGGGCCAACGTGAAAGACTTCCATCCTGGGCGGCTGCTCGCTTTTGCCTTGACCTGGGCCCAGGTCAGATTTCTATCGAGTTGCTTAATTTCCTTATTGAGGCTCCGCCGCCATGAGCCCCTGGGTCTGCCTCTGCTGCGATGTCCTGCTGGATTCCAATCCAGCGCTTGCTTGCAGATTTCGTTTCCGCCCGTCGAAGTGTGTGGCCGACCCACCTCCACTTTCGCTCTCGAATTTCTGTTGCTATCAGCTTCTGAAGACATCGACGATGGAGCTCGGCATTCGAGATCCAGTTGTGAGGCCACCAGGCACGAATTATATACCGCAGGCATCGGTTGATGAAGACCTGCAGCTTTTGAGTGTTCTCCGCTGATACACACCACGTCTCGCTGGCGTATAACAACACAGATTTCACGTGCGAGTTGAAAATTCGGATTTTGGTGCGTTGACTTATCTGGTTGGATCTCCATACGTTTCGTAAACTCGCAAAGGCAGCCCTAGCCTTCTTGATTCGTGCACCTATGTCGCTCTTGGTCCCGCCGTCCGACGCTATTTGGCTGCCAAGATATTGGAAACTTTCGACCTTCTCCACTGCTTGCCCCGCTACCGTAAAGTTGGAAGGTTGCCCGTGTTGATATCCAACGATTTGGTCTTGTTGACGTTGATGGTGAGACCCGCCGCAGAGGAGCGTTCGGCTAGGTCATTGAGCTTACTCTGCATATCAGAGCGCCGTTGTGCTAGTAGAGCAACATCATCAGCCAAATCAAAGTCGTTGAGATGCTCCATGGTCATAGGCTGCAAAAGCAGCCCACGGTTCGGTACACGGTCAATTGCACCTACCATGATCTCGTCGATTACGATGAGGAACAGTAGCGGTGATAGTATACATCCTTGACTCACACCAGCGACTACCCGGATAGGGTCGGACAAGGCTCCGTTATGCAGAACTCTGCACGTGAAAGCCTCATTCTGCGCTTCGATGAGGTTGACGATTTTATCCGGGACTTAAAGAGACTCTTGGAATTCATTGACCTGCTCCAGTATGATGCGGAGCGTGACAATATGGTCCACACAAGATCTTCCGGCACGGAATCCTGCCTGCTGCCGTCGGAGAGTCGCGTCGATCTTCTCCTGTATCCGATTCAGGATAACTTTGCACAGAACTTTGAGAACAATACACAGTAACATGATGCCTCGCCAATTGTCGCACACAGTCAGATCCCCCTTCTTTGGGACCTTCACTAAGATGCCCTGCATCCAGTCGGCCGGAAAAGTCGCGGTGTCCCAGATATTACAGAATAGTTGATGCAACATTTGTGCGGATAGCATGGGGTCAGCTTTGAGCATCTCTGCTGATATGCGATCGACCCCTGGAGCCTTGTTGGATTTCATGCTTCGGATAGCTGCTTCAATCTCCTGCAGTGATGGGGCCTCGGAATTGACGCGAGTGATGCGCCGCACCCTAGACGGATCATGCCGAGATGTTGATGGCTGGTTGGCCGTCGAAACTTGAAGAAGTTGTTCGAAGTGCTCAAACCAGCGTTTCAGCTGGTCAGTGGGGTCGGTAAGCAATTGTCCAGTCGTATCTTTCACTGGAATCCTCGGTTTCATCCTTGCTCCACTCAGGTGTCGTGAGATATCGTAGAGGAGGCGTATATCGCCAGTGTTTGCGGCTTTCTCCCCTTCGTCGGCCAGGGAGTTCACCCACGCTCGCTTGTCCCGTCGGCAAGAGCGCTTGACTTCCTTCTCTAGAGCCGAGTACCGTTGACGGGCTTCGTTCTTGGCTCCTCTGGTTCTCGCCCGCTCTATCGCGGCTTTTGCTTCTCTACGCTCCTCAATCTTCCGCCAGGTTTCATCTGTGATCCACTCTTTCCTCTGGGTGCGCAGCTCACCCAAGTTGTTCTCGCTTGTTTCTATAAAGGCATTCTTGATGGCCATCCATTGTTCTTCTACGCTGCCACCTTCTGGAACGTCCGCAGCTCGAGTCTCAAGTTCATGAACAAAAGACCTTTTTACCGCGGATCTTCAAGTCGGCGTGTGTTGAACCGCCGCCCGAGTCTCTCCTCCCGTCGCTGGATCCGCGCCATGCGTAGGCGGATTTCACCGATTAGAAGGTGATGGTCAGATGCGATGTCGGCGCTGCGTTTATTCCGGACATCAAGAAGGCTCCGTCTCCATTTTCGGCTGATGCTCGATCTGATTCTCGGTATGTCCATCACGGAAAACCCACGTGACTTTGTGCACTGGCCGATGGGGGAAGAGCGAGCCCCCGATCACCATGTCGTTATTGCCACAAAATTCTGCAAACAGCTCACCGTTCTCGCTCATTTCGCCGAGACCATGGCGTCTCATGACACGCTTATAGTCCGTGTTGTCGGAGCCGATCTTCGCATTGAAGTCGCCAGTGTAGATCTTGATGTCACCCTTTGGAACCTTATCCACGACGGCATTCAGTTGACTGTAAAAATTCTCCTTGTCCTGTAGCTCGGCAGCATCGGTTGGCGCATAACATTGGATTATGGTAAGATTACGAACCCGTGCTCTAAATCTGGCAACAATTATCCTCTCATTAACAGGCTCCCACTTGATGAGCGCAGCACTTGCGGGGAGCGTTTTCACCTCGAATACCAAAGTATAGTAGTACCTGTGTTCTCCAAAGTTTGGCCAACGAACTTCACTCAGTCCCAGGATTTCTAGCTTCATGCGTCGTGCCTCGTTGGCGAGTTGTGCCAGTTTACCCTGCTGGGCTAACGTCAATACATTCTATGATCCAATTCGTGTCCGTTGTTTTGCGCTAAAAGTCGTTGCCGTTAAATCAGTTCGATGTCTTTCTCTGTTGGTTTCTGTAACAATTGTAAAGGTTTTAGAGACAGTAGGTGGTTGGCCTAAGGTCTCCAATCCGCCGTGATGGGGCTGCCATCTTAGGTGTAGCTTCCGGGGAAGAGCATTTCTTATTCAGCCGCTGGATGCCAGTCAGACGCTGTTTGAGCCGCACCTCCATGGTAAACAGACGCTCGGGTTGGCGAAGCATTTCCTCTATCACCGTGCTATGGTTACCGCGCCAGTGTTCGCGTCGCACCTCCTCACTCTGCTATTGTCGGATTGACAATATTGCCCAGGCTACGCCAACCAGCTGTGTCCATGTTTCAGCTGGCAGTCTTTTGTGATCATATGACTCGTGGAGGCGTGAGGTAGGAACTTGTGAGGACCGGAGCTAGGTATATCGCTCCTTCCAGATTGTCACTCACCATTTTGTAGCCCCTTAAATTTGTGTAACAAATTTCAATTGAAAGTAGGATAGGTGTAGCAATTATGGCGATACGTTCCTATCTGAGGGAGCAAAGATGCCAATTTTTTCAGAAGTCTGCGAAAAATTTCAGAAATGTCTGCAATTGGCTGT